ATATACCTCAACAACGTGGATATAGGCAAGCCTTGGTGGCGAGCTAAACCACGGGATAAATCCTTGTGTAATCTTGTGCTTATATTGCTACACTTGTGTTCTTGTTGTTGTTGAGGTGATCTCTAGAGTTTGAGGCCGATCTACTTATGTGTGACGTTCCCACCACTTTAAGCTATCGATCTATGATCTACTACTCTGTAGAAAGTTAAGAAATTTACCCAATCTAAATTTCATTGGGTAGATTTTGAACTGTGAACTAATCTCTCCTGCAGGTGCGGCAGTGCCACGCTCACAGAGCGGTAGTGCCATGGGTGAATTTGACTTTGGTTTGAGTTGAATTTTTATAGGCCTATTCACCCCTTCCTCTAGGCATTCCAGTGATCCTACACAAGTCCTCTTGCCGCCTGACCCCACCCCGCCTTGAATGGCGCCCGGTCGAGCTCTAATTTGGCATTTTTCCCGCCGTCGTGCTGATAAGGCCATGTCCGGCCGTGGACGAGGGCAGCCCTCTACCATCCCTTCCGAACCAATTCACCTACACCATTAGTTTCGCCTTGCCTCCCTCTACACCTTGCGCTCGCCAGTGGAGCCGCTACTACCTCCCCATCATCGCTGACGCGATCGCACCACCGCGGTATGTTGCCGCACGGCTTGGCCGCACGAGGACACACCTCCTCCACCATCCTCCACTCCAACCGTCACCTCGGCTTGGTCCACGGTAGTCTACTAATGCTCCCTCACTATCCAGTTAGGTTCTTAGGTGCTCTAGATCGCCGGAGCAACTATGCCGCCACCACGGACGGCCGCGCGTCGCTGCAGCTCGCTCCAGCACGTCCTGCCACCCTACATTGCTGCTTGGTGTAGGCTGTTGGACCATAGTTGAAGGTTGGCCCGACCAACGAGCTAGCGCGAGCCTCTGGTGGCCGGCACGGTCGCGTCGTCTCATCACCCGCCGCGTCGCCATGCGCTGAGTCGCTGGGGGTGCGCGCGGGTGAATTAGGGAAAGTTAGAGGGTTAAGTGAGAAGGTCTGAGAGAGGAGAAAATAGTGTTAGTACTTAGTTGTAAATTGAGAGGAGTTCGAGGTCTCTTTTGCAAAATAGCCAACGCACAGAGACACCCGCCGTGGGTGGCCGCCTCCACGAAGCGGGCGGCCTCGCGTGAACCACGCTAGCGGGCGCTATCGTCTTGTATTGTGTGTCATGTGCAGTCACATGGAGATTTACTTTTCTTTTTTCATAAGGAATTAGCAATGGTTTTCTAATTTAATTTTTGATCTGATCTTTGATAAATCATATAAAATCATGTATGTGTCCAAAAATTATGAAACAAATTTTGTTAGATTCCTAAAATTATGCTCTATCGGTTGGTGTATTTATTTCATATTTATACGTGTTGACATTAGGAGTTATTAAATCATTTGAGGATGCTTAATAATATTAAGTTAATTATTGTAAGAATTTTTGTGGTAAATTGGTGATAGCTTTAGTCCTGAAAAATTTATAGTAGCTTCATTGTATTATTATGTGCTCACTGTAATTTTTGAAGCCTTAGAATAGACTAAGCATTAGGGTAGCTAAATACTCTTTGTTTCAATATACATTAAATCATTAGTAGAAATAAAGATATACCCTTAAATTGCAAAACTGAGTGTTTGTTAGTTGAATCCAACACCTTGCTTGATGAAGATGATAGTTAGCTTAGTATCTTAGTCATTAGAGCTAGTTTAGTAGCTTGATATGCGCATTCTTAGTTTAAGAGTTCCTGTTGCCTGAATACTAAGTGTTGCATCATCATCACATACATGTAGAGAACGAGTTGGCGAAGATCGTGACCATCGACGATCACGAGTTCGAGGAGTACGAGGAGGAGATTCTCGTGCAAGAGAAGGTCCCAGAGCCACCACTGACTGACTTAGCTAACACGCGCCTACCCAAGGCAAGCCTCGGTGCATAACCTCTATTCTATAATGCACCGTATATATATGTGTTGTGCATTTACGTTACAGGAATTTTATAAAAACCACATGCATAGATATACCTGTCCTAAGAGTCTTACTAGTGTAGGTTCAAGTAGATGCTATGCATAGGTCATCGGTAGCGTGAGTAACCTGTCGTTGCTCATAATAGGGGATTATTATTACTCTCATAATAAAATGATGAAAGGAAAAATGGAGACAGGGCAGGGATATGGTATAGGTATTGGCGAGTATAATAGGTGGTGTCCCGCGGCCAACAGGGGCTTAGCTTGGTTACACTGTTTTCCCTATTTGTGTTGATGAAGGACCGTCCGTTGCTGTGGATGGTAGTCAGGTCACATACTTATTATTCTGAGCACATACTTGCTTATGGGAGCGGGAAGGCTCGTTACGCTCTTGTCGTGGGTTTCGACTCTTTTTGGATCGACTGATTAGATGCAGGAAAAGGTGGAGGTCTAAGCACCATACTAAGACTGGGTCTCATGTGTGGGGACTTGGAGTCCAAGTTTAGATGGGGACCTGGACCCCATGACAGGAGTGGAATGGGTTGGTCTTGTTTATGCCTGGGGTACAAATAAGGCGTGTGTTTCAGGGTACCCAGCTAGGATACATTGGTTCGTGAATTGCCGTTTCCGTGAGACGGTATGACTTGGCTATGGTCTAGCACCGTAGTAAGAACTAGAAGATGAAAGATGGTGAAATGGTTCTAATTGCTTAACCCTTGATTGAAAGTAGAAAAGGTCCTTATCTAGAATGGTTAGCTAATGAAGTAATCATGACTGCTAATAAAACTTAACTGTAAGGATGAACTATTAGTAATGCTTTCCATAAACAAAAAGAAAACAACAAACCCATATTGCCTATCATATCCTTGAGAGTCGGGAAACTATTCTCACTAGTCGGGTAAGTCTTGCGAGTACATTGTGTACTCAGGGTTTATTTTACCCCTATTGCAGGTGCAGCTTGAGTAGCTCTTGTGTGGAGGATTCTTCTGGTGGGTACAGTGGATCCTTGTATCGTTTCCGCTAGATATTTATTTTCATTCCACTGTTTAATTATCGCACTCTAAACTCTGGTATTGTAATAAATAATTTCTAAGAACTCTTGTTGTATGAAATGGACTAAGTATTGTAAGCTCGTACTCATTATTGGATTCTGGGTGTAAAACGTGGATTGTTTCGAGTTCTCCCTTGGGGTGTGCTCGACGGAACTGTCCGATGTAGCTCACTTTCGAGGTGCTTAATGTCTAGTGAAAGACGAGCGCCTCTAAAAGCGTGTTATTTCAGGTGGTTCTGCCATAGCCATGGGCCGGCCCAAGGGGTACAACTCCCCTTGTTTGGTTCCCTGTACCAATTCGACCTAGCCTATTTGAGATGTTGTTTGTTTCCTAGGTGGAAAGCCCGGCTGAGGACCAACTACCACCAACTGCCATCTTGAGATGGCATTTGATTTGGGGCAGTGTCAGCCCGACCCATAGTGAGGAAGAACAATGCAAATTGATCAAAGCAATGACCATAGCAGCATTTGAATACGTAACGGAGTTGAAATACAATCATAGCAGTTAAGAAAATTTAAGTATCTCACTAGTAGGCCTTAGACATCATCAATACATAATTTTGTACCATAGTTGGCTCCAAGTTACAATGAAAAAGCATAATTAGGACCAGAGAACACGAACCACCATCTCAAGTTTGCAAAGGAGACCAACATGTTGTCACAGGTCTGAGAAATGCATTAGAAAAAACAAAATGACATGGAGCAAGCTGAGTAACCTTACAAGTCTATCATCCTCGGCCTAAGAACTGCAGTTATATTGGCTGCACACCGACAACTTTATCCAAACTCCAAAGACCAGTAGCAAAAGAGTAACAATGATCACAGTGTTTCAAGAAACATCCTTACCATGAACTGGTGCCACAACATTCTTACCATGGACTGGTGCCAAGGTGGCACTAGTTTGAGATGGGAACAAGTTAGGAGGTGGTGGTAGAGCTCCAACTGATGCATTAAAATCTCTAATAGCTTGCTCATAGCTACTATACTTCTTGTGTCTAGCATTTTGGACACCAAGAACTTGCTCACTGCACTCATACCAGGTATGATAAATACCAAGTTGCTTCCCATGGAAAACCACATAGCAAGGGGCCATTTGTTGTCAAATGAAACATTAGTTTAGCCTCAGTCAAATGTAAGGAATGAAACTTGCCGTGAGTGTGGAACTTGAAGATCTATGGTTTGGGATGATCCAAATCGTTGATCTCAAGTCCTTCACTAATGACCAGCATCATCAATTTGAAAGCAACAGTTATGACATCACATGCATTTATACACAAACTTTGGCCTCGGTTTTAGAATTAGGTGGTGTAATTCAATGGTTGCCATGCAAATAAAAACCATGGGCTGCCATGCAAATAAAAACCAGTAGAACAGAAGATCAGAAAAAGTGCAAACCCAAAGTCATTGTTGCCATGGAACCCTTGCGCATGTCCATTCACTGCCATCAGCATTAGTTAGAAGGTGTTGTTGCTAGGGAATGGACATGACGCATGGGCTTGATGACAGACACAACAAATAACAAGAAGCAAATAAATAGGGCCGCCACCTCATGTATATGTTTGCATCATAGGCCTTTCAAATTTCCAACTTTTGCCACCAAAGCACAGAAACAAAAGCAACACAGAAAGCAGTGAGATACTAAAAATAGTAAGGAACCAAACCACTAGCATGTCTGAAATAAAGTAGCCAACAGAAGCTACAAATAGTTGCTTACAACAACAAGGTTCTGCCGAACAGTTCAGGGCTCAAATGCCTACCATGGTGCCATATAGCATAACTAGTTAGCCACCCTCCCACTATATAAACCAAAAGGACAGGTGTGAGTCAGCCAAGTAAGCTGCACAAAATACCTACAACAAAGTGTGCTCAACGTAGTCAAAAGAAGAGAGAGTAGGTGAGGGAGGTGGAGGAACTATACATCGCAACAGTCAACCCCCTTCATGGCAATGCAGCCAGTAGGTACGGGAACTACATGTAGTAGTTCTTGGCTAGGTAGTTCCTAAGCCAAATGTCCCTATGGCTGTCACTCATGCCAACAAAGCCCCTGCCTTGGGCCTTGTTGTCTAGCAGGTAGGTGTAGGCCACTATCAGAGCCTCCTCAGAGAAGCCAGGAGTCTCCATAACAACAAGGTAGAGATTAGCATCAACATGGGCTAGACCTATTTTCCTAAGAGCATTAGCAACATTGTTCACTGCATCTAACATGTTGGTAAGCAAGAGCATCTCATCCTTAGTGAATGTGCCTCTCTTCTTCTTCCCACCCACACCAGAAGTGGCCAACAGCTCTGTGGCCTTGCTACCCTCACCAACTTCAGTGTTGGTTTTCTCCTCACAGACATTGTTGGCAGCAATCCCCTCAGCCTTACCAGCTACACTATCAGCCTGGTTTGCCCCAAGGGCCTCACCAAAACCTAGTGCAAACCTACCAGTGGCCATTGCTTGACCAAAGATGGCCTCCATCTCTGGGTAGAACCTTATAGGGTAGTTAAGGAACTCAGCATCCTTAGGGTGGTCCTGCAGAAGGGGAGATAGTTTAAGTAACTCATAGGAAGACAGAGATAAGACAGAGATGAGGACAACATCTTAGTTAATCTACCTTATAGTGACCTAGGTAGTGCTCCCCCTCTAGCATGATTGCATTCACATCACTATCCCATAAGACCCCACTAAGATCCTTCAGCTTACATATCCTAGCCCACTTATGCCTCCACTTCTTCAAGTGGTTGTACACCTGAGTTGGGCTAACAGTCTCCCCACTGTGCTCCTTAAGGTGCTTGGCCACTAAGTTCGCATCCTTGTCCTTGAAAACATTGTCAGGCCTACTACCATCACTTATTAGCTAGGCCATCCTCCTAAGCACAAACCTAGAGGTGTTGTTGTTCCACCTCATGGGCCCTGGAGCTGGTGCTGGTGCAACAGCACCAGCAACTGCTGCAGCCCTAGCAACCTCATTCAAGAGGCCAGCAGCAGCCACAAACCCTTCCTCAGCACCAACCAGATCAACAGGAGCTGAAGCCATCCTATTTTGGTAACCAATGAAAGAATAATATAATTACATGACCATGAATGTATAATGTAACAGATGACCATGGGAGACACCCATAAAGTGGCAGCTGCATAGTAGTACCATGGAACAAGCATAGTATGGATGTCTCTCATGGTCATGTAGCATCAAATAGAGCATAACCATGAACACAGTTAGCATAAAACATGAAAGGAAGAACAACATTAACATTTATAAAGCAGTTGGTCTTAGCCTTGTCCAATAGTTATTACATAAGCATTACACAACCAAGTGTTCCATACCAGGGTGATCAAACTGAGTTGTACAAGAAATAACCTGCATGAATTAGGTCCTAGAGGTACCCCTACCCTCCCACATTGTTGTACAGATGGCACCCCTCTTAGTGGACATGCCCTGGGAATCTTGAAACATCAGCTCATGTACAGGTTTACTATCATGCTGGTTGGGTGGCAACCAGTCCTCTGTGGGCACTACTTCATCAATGCCAAAACCTAGAATTTAGTTGTGAAGAATGCAACATGCTAAGACAAGCTTAACCTGAGTCTTGTAAGGGTTGAATGGCTTGTTGTCTAAGATCCTAAACCTATTCTTCAAAGCCCCAAAGGCCCTCTCAATTGTGACCCTAAGTGAATAGTGCCTTAGGTTGAATAGTTCCCTTGCATTTGTTGGGAGGTTTCTGCTGTCATACTCGGACAAATGGTACCTGACCCCCTGTAGGGAGGGAGGAATCCACTGTGGCATGCATAGCTTGCATCTACAAGGTAGAATTTACCTACAAGTGGACCAAACAGTGTCTAATGTGAATGTTTGTGCCATGGTTAAGACATAAGTGTAGTGGATAGCTAAGTGAGTTACCTTGAGGCACAATGAACCCATCATTTCTGTTAATGGCATCAGCAAGGATGAGTGTATCATGTGCTGAGCCCTCCTAGCCAACTAGTACATATGTGAACTTGAGGTCCAAGTCCACAACAGCCATCACATTTTATGTGGGGTTGTGTTTCCTACCCCTGAAAGCCTACTGCATGTGTCTAGGCACCCTTGCCAACACATGGGTGCCATCAATGGCACCTACACAGTCCTAGCAAAATTGTACAAGTGGGATAAGCAAAGGGGTTCACATCTACATTAAGTTATGGCTTAACATTTCAATTGATAGTTACCTGCATATAAGGGTTCCATCTATGACTCCCCAGGATCTTTGGATGTATGGCTGGTGTAGGAGGCTTAATCAATTCATTTCTAAGCTCACCAACAGCATATAGAACCTGGTAAAAGTGCCTATGAATAGTCTCAATTGATCTCCTAAAGGACTGGTGAATTACCCTAAACCTTTGGTTGTGTCCAACTACATGGAGGAACATTACAACCTGCTCGTCAACTGTGCAACCAGCTGTTTTAGGTACAAGGCTCCTAGTTCTAAATAGGTTACACAAAGAAAAGAAAGGAGCTCTTCTCATTCTTAACATGGCAATGCACTCAGCATCGGTGGAGTTATAGATGGCCTACAAGGTTTGCTGCCTATGTTGTTCAGCATCACTCTTTAGTTCATACAACAGTGGGTCAGGTTCAGACCTTGACCTCTTCATCCTAGACACTACCACAGACACCATGACAACTACCATGTCAGCTGCTTGTCTGGCCATCATCTCACGGGTTTCAGATGGATCCATCTACATGCATGTACATTCAAAGATGAACTCGGTTTACATAACCCTGGCTGGCCTCAACATGGTTGTGCAAGCATAAAAAAATTATGGCACGGCTGCATGTATGAACATGCCTCCCAGTGCAATGGACATCATCATCGACCATGGAAATAAATAAACAAACAACATTGAACTACAAGAACATGAACAACAGCAAGCAAACCCTAAATCCAACAACATATAGCCAAAACAAATCACATGTACTGCTCACATAAAGCAATAATAAAGCACCATGTAGTACCAAACCAAAACCCTAGCATCAACTAGATTAAAAAACACAGGGATTTGGGGGGCCAATTTCACCTTGGGGTTGTCGGTGCAGGAAAAGAGAAGCGCAAAACGGAGAAGAAGACGAGGCGACGAAGAGGCAGTAGCTCTAGACGGAGAGGAGGTAGATCCGGTCCGCGCCACCACCTAGCGCAACACCGGAGCCGAGGAAGACGAAGGAAGAAGACGGCCGCCTCCCAGAGTCCCAGCGAAGAAGAAGGTGCGGCGCCGAGTCGCAGCAGATTTGCGGCGGGAGAACGGAGAGGAAGCCCACTGGAGAAAAAAGGCGCCTCGTCGGACACCACCACACCACCTCTGCCGGTATCTCACGGGAATGCAGCAGTGGAGAGGGAACGATGGAGAAGGAGGCCAGAGGAGGAAGAGGGGTCGATTTATAGGCGAAGGATTCGGTGGAGGAGGGAGCGCGCGCGGAGCTTTCACGGTTCCCGCGCGAGCCACCCGCCGTCTGCCCAAATTGCCCCCAAATCGCCCGCCAGCGCCGCGCTTAGCCATGCCCTAGAAAAATGGCGGATTCGAGCGTACCATGGGAGCCAGGCGGAGGGGGGTTTGGCCGTGGGGAGACGGGCTGAGCGATGGGCCAGGGCCACCAAACAAGTGAACTGCACCTCGGTAGCGCAACCAGGCCCACGGGCCACCCTTGCAAACACGCCCGTAGCGTGCCGCGGTCTCGCGAAAACCTAGCGGCATCTGTCGCCCTGGCACCAGGCTGAGACAGTAGACAATTCAAGGTTGCGCATCTTCTTTCTTTTTTTCTAACGTTGGGTTGCTCTCTTTTTTCTTTTTTTTTTGAGAAACCTAACGCTGGGTTGCTTGAGTTGAGTGCTTGCACGCCGGATAGGCACAGGCCTTTTTGTCTCTGCTTTGTTAATGGGCTCGGTTTTCTATCCTGGGGGCAGGAATCTTCGCTACTGGGCTTTTAAGTTGACGCCTCGCGCTCGCAGCAGGCCACTGCGTTATTGGGCTTCCTGACGCTAGTCATCATCTTCTATTTCGGCTGCATTGAATCTAGCTGCGCCGGTTTTCGATCGATCGATCCACATTTCCAAAGCGCTGCGTGCGTTAGCTCCACCATTAAACCCTGCACGTTACAGCGAGCTCGATCGTGCCTGGCTCGTTCTCGGCGAGCCGTACCCGTACCCTATACATAACGCCAACGGTGCGGCGCATCAACCGAGTCCGATCAGCTAGCCCACAGCACAAGCCGCGCAGATGGCAAGGCCAACCCAGCTGCGCGCCGCAGCAGCGGCGGTCAGTCTTGTCGTCGTGGCCATGTCGTCGACCGCACCGGCACCCGGCGGCGGCGGCGGCGGACATCACGGGGTTCTGCACCGAGGTGCACGGCGTGAGCGCGGGCGAGACGTGCGGGTCGGTGGCGCGCGAGACGCCCGGCTCCCCCTCCCGCAGTTCATGGACCTCAACCAGAACATCACCTGCGGCGCGCTGTTCCCCGGTCAGTGGGTCTGCGTCCGCGGCGTGGCCATAGCCTGACCGCGCGCGCACACTGTAAGAGAGCGAGACGCACGATCGCTTGGATCGGAGTGGCACCACATTGCATGCGCTACTCCATACGTTCTGGGTCGGTCGTCGTCAGGAGACACTATTGCGTTTTCTTTCCCCTGGCCTCTTTCCAAAAGAGCGGTGTGCTTGCTTGTCGCATAAAATGAAGTGCTCTGATAAAAATTCGGCATGGAGGTGCGTGTGGGGGTATGACCGCGGTATTCACCAGACAAGATGGCCGCACCATCAGAGGTGGCACAGCCCACAAGATCAAGATGTGCACGGTATTGGTCGACGTGTACCGCAAGATATTGTATAGTATCAAATATGATACTTTTCTTGTAACCCTACCCCTACAGAGTATATAAGAAGAGGCAGGAGTCCCTTAGTGGACATCGACATACATCTACATACATATCATGCAATACACCAAAGACACAGGACGTAGGGTATTATGTCGATCAAACGGTCTGAACATGTCTGAATCGCTGTCTCTGCGCCTTGTGTCACCATTCGGTTCCTGATTACGTGCACCCCCACCGATCAATCTACCTTCATGAGATACACCTCGAAGAACTGCCGAGCATCTTTTGTCGACAGTGCGTGAGCAACGTCATTCACGTTTACGGGTTCAAATGGGATCACTGACACAAGAACAACACACGGCATAGGAGTACTCACTACGGTAAAGCGACACGACGCGAAGGCGATGCATGCAAACATGGGACGGAGACGGATGCGACAGATTATTCTTCGTCATGGTAGAATCCACGCACGCACGCGCGGCGCGGGCGGGTACGCGTTACGGGATGATCGAGCGAAGCTGCCGCGAAGCTTCTCTTGTCTAGGATCAACTCAATCTATTGCCCTGTTCGTTTGGGCTGGTTTGGCTTATAAGCCATGGCTGAAAGTACTGTTGGCTGGTTTAGTGTGAGAGAAAAATATTGTTCGTTGCCTGATAAACCATGACAGCCCACAAGATCAAGGCGTGCATGGCATTAGTCGACGTGCACCGCAAGATATTGTATATTACCAAATAGGATATTTTTCTTGTAACCCTACCTCTCCAGAGTATATAAGGAGAGTCAGGGGTCCCTTAGTGGACATCGACATACATCTACATACATATCATACAATACATCAAAGACACAGTACGTAGGGTATTATGTCGATCAGACGGCCCGATCCTGTCTAAATCGCTGTCTCTGCACCTTGTGTCACCATTCAGTTCCTGATTACGCGCACCCCCACCGATCAATCTACCTTCGTGAGATACACCTCAAAGGATTGCCGAGCATCTTTTGTCGACAGTGCGTGACCAACGTCTTCACGTTTACTGGTTCAAATGGGGTCACTGACACGAGAACAACACACGGCATAGGAGTACTCACTACGGTACAGCGACGCGACGCGACGCGAAGGCGATGCATGAAAACATGGGACGTAGACGGACACGACAGATTATTCTTCGTCGTGGTAGAATCCACGCACGCACGCGCG